CTACTAACTACTAACTACTAACTACCAACTACCAACTACTAACTACTAACTACTAACTACTAACTACTAACTGCTAACTACTAACTACTAACTACTAACTACTAACTACTAACTACTAACTACCAACTACCAACTACCAACTACCCCAACTACCCCAACTACCAACTACTAACTACTAACTACCAGCTACCAGCTACTAGCTACTAGCTACTAGCTACTAGCTATTAGCTACTAACTACTAACTACTAACTACTAACTACTAACTACTAACTATTAACTACTAACTACTAACTACTAACTACTAACTACTAACTACTAACTACTAATTACTAACTACTAACTACTACTACTACTACTACTACTACTACTACTACTACTACTGCCACTACTACTGCTACCATTACCACCTACCACTACGACTTCTACCAATTACCACTATCGCTAACCACTGCCACTATCACTACGAAAGTAGAGGCATGTACATGTGCATGTATATATCGTAAATGTACATGTGCATAAGAAGCCCCAACCAAAAATCTGTGAGCCCTGACCCCAGCCTTGCAATCGAAATCCCCTGAGCCCAGCCCCAAGCACGAAAACTTTCCCTCAGGCCCTATTGGAATCCCTGTACAGCTGTGCCCCAAATGCTGCATATGGGTTTGAATCAGCAGCAAGTGTGTGGCCTCCATAATTATTGTGTAGTGTGATAACTAGCCCAAACCAAAAAAACATGTGACAACCTCTACAACACAACAACCGTAAAACATCGTATAAACACACCCTAATCCAATTACCGAGCCCCTAGATCAAACTCCTACTTAGTAGCCCTCGTCGCAGCTCTTGCAGGAATCCTTAGATCACTCCATTATGGGAACCCGTTGCTACCCTAAACCCTGAACCCTTGACCCTTAAGCTTGGCTAGGGGTAACCCTGAATCTCGAACCTTACAGGATCCCTTCTATGATTTTTTTATGAAACCATGTTTGTTCTTAATGCCTATAAACCCTATAGCATCGCTTATACGCTTTTTTGAAACCGTATATGAACATTTGTGAAGCCCTGTGCTTTTCGGCGCTCGGATCTTTTTTTAAGCTTTGTTCGCCATGGCCGTGGAAGTTTCTGTGTCCCTTCTCAGCGGCCGAACCTTGTGCTTGGTTTAGGGTTTACGGTTAGGGTGTAAGCTTCGGTTTTACAAGCTGTATCTTCGTTTAGGGGCTTCATAGGTTGCTATCGGGTTTCTGATGTCTTGCAGGGCTTTAGGGTTTGGCTTGTTTTGTGATAGGGAGTTCTGAGGGTGGCTCAATGAGGTTCAATTGGCATTTGTAAGGATTCCTTGGTGGTTTATAGGTGCTGTACGGGTTGTATCTGGTGCTATCAACCTGATATGGACTTTTCATTGGTTCGTAGCAGGTTTTTTGTTTAGGATTTTACAGGTGTTCAGGGTTTCAGGCGTAGGTTCCGGGGCTTGATGTTTAGGGCTAGGGCGTCTCTGTTTACGACTCGTGAGAGGCTTAAGAGCATTTAGACCTTAAGGGTTTAGTCAGTAAGTAAGGTTTTTGGCTGTCAACGGTCGAAGGGTCGAGAATAAGGATTTGGTCTGGATTAGGGTGTTGCGATCAGAAGATTACGTTTCGCAGCCTTGCAAGTGTTTTTTGTGGTGGCGTCTTCCCTTGGGGTTCAGACCCTTGGGATAATGGAACTCGTATTACACCACCCCTGCAAACTTCCAGCCCACTAGAAACAAGCTGCAGCAATCCTGGACAAGGTCTTGGGACATGATAAAAACGGTTCAAGAAGCTCAACCGAGAATAGAAATCCTTAATCCTAAAGCCCTGACCCCAAACTCCAATTCGTCGGCACCCCCCACGTAGAAACCGTTACAGAACCGTTTACAGGAACCCCCTAAGACCCGATTCCCCAGAGACTCCAATACCCCTTAATTAAGGAATATACCTTAAATCTTATTAGGGATCCTACTATAATTTAAGGTATATTCCCTAATTAAGGGGTATTGGAGTCTCTGGGTCTACTTATTCAGACTTGAAAATCCCTGACGGTCCCTGTCCGATGGCTCCACCAGGATCGGTGAGCATCCTCGCCGAGCCCGAGTGGACCCTCCAGGAGTCCCGATCAAAGCCGCAAGAGAGCCTTTCAAAAACCCTATGAAACCCTTATGAAACTGTAGGATTCCCTTAATCCCTATAGAAAGGGGTTCAGAGGTCTGACGAAACCGTTTGGACATAGAGGACGTGGCTTCAGAGAAGAAGGAAGGTTGGTTGTAGATTGTTAGATTTACAGGCGTCAACAAAGCAGCCATGTCATAAGAGTAGCCCACTGTCCGACCAGCGTGCCTTCGACGATTGACCGGGCTCAATCAGGCATGATGACTAGAATACAGCTCGAACAGAGATTAATCATGAAATGAAAATAGCGATTGTGCCGATTGCAACGGTGAAGCCATTTGGTTTTAGGGTTCCCTGCTCAATCTTGTGGGGGATCAGTATAATATACCCCAAAACCCTATTCTAATTATTAAGGCCCCTACATTAGTGTGGCCGCCCGGGACTTATAGTCGGGGCTTCTTGGTTGTCCTAGACCTGAACCCGAAGCCCTCACTCAACCCTAAACCCTGATTTCGTTTCATCCCTGGCCATGGAGGTGTTGAACTAGAACCCTAAACCCTAAACCCTAAACCCTAAACCCTAAACCCTAAACCCTAAACCCTAAACCGTCTAGAATAGGAAGGCTGTGGGGCTTAGATCCCGGGCCTCAAGCCAAAAAGCCCAGGAGATTGAGCCTTTTGGGTCCTGGGGCTTAGGGTTTAGGGTTTAGGGTTTAGGGTTTAGGGTTCTCTGTTGTCACTCTTCCAACTCGCTTTCGAGGAGGATTAGTCCGCATGGCAGATTTCGGGGAGTCAAAGGTTTTGTAGTCCTGCCCTTTGGGCAACCTAGACCCAGAATGCTTGCCTGGGAGCTTGTGTGAGCGCAGACCTTCAATAGCAGGGACGCCGATGTTTCAATATCCCATACATTGAGACACAGAGAGAGACAGAGAGAGACTGAATTCTCCGCAGATGTCCCGGTTGAGTAGCTGGCGGTGCTTGTCGAAAACAACCTGACAACTGCACGAACAGATCCTTTTTTACTGCCGGCGGCCTTGAATTGAGGGTCCTCGGTCTGATCGTCCTCAGTTGCTGGAGCGTCCTCAATTCGAACCGCTTCGTGCTGACATAAGACACCCAAGGATTTCAGAAATCCTGGCATCCTTGAAGCCAAAACCCCACACTCTGGATCCGAAGCATGAAACACGCAACTAACCCAGAGACTCCAATACCCCTTAATTAGGGAATATACCTTAAATTATAGTAGGATCCCTAATATGATTTAAGGTATATTCCTTAATTAAGGGGTATTGGAGTCTCTGGGAACTAAGAACCCAGTCAGCCATTTAAAGAAAACACTGCTGCACCTTCGTTGAAGAGGACGTGCGCCGAGCCGCGCAGCGAAAGTTACGTGTTCGACTGCTACTGGGACGCAACGGTTCGGCATTCTGCCGCTCCGGAAAGAGCAATCCTGAAGCCCTGAAATCTTGATGCCCCTGGTTTTGAGTCCCTTCTTTCTGAAAACTGAAGTCGTGCTAAGCACAAACTGCGCAGCGTTCCCGTCTGGCCCTCGATCTGGAGTTCACAAACAAAGTACCATCCCAATAAACGGGAACAGTTTTCCATAGCAGCCCAAAGATCGCAGTGAAAGCGTTCAACCGTCCGTGTGCTGTTCGGCTCTTTCGTCTCGAAGCAGTACCGCAAGACGTCCAAGCGTTCGCGACGTACTGCAGCCACTGCATCCGAACACTGCAAGGAGTTTCTGTATGCTTTATGCTATGTTCAGACCTATGTTATGCCAGACACATAGACCGAAATCCCAAATCCTAAAGCCAGTCTAGCCCAAAAGGGCTAAACCCTAAAGCCCTAAGTCCCAAACCCGAGCCGCCTAAATCCACCCAAAGCCACAAAGCCCTAAAGCCCCAGATCCCAAAGCCCTAAACCCTAAACCCAAAACCCATTAAATCCTTCGTTTAAGAACTTACAGAACCCCAAGTCGCCCACTACCGTCTCAGAACTCAAACCGTCTCAGTCATATAAGGCTCGGCATCGTCAGCTCTGATGGCGAGGTGCTAGACGATTGGTCCAGGAGTTAGGATGTCAGACTTGGATTTTAGCAAAGTTCAGGATTTGGGGTTTGGGGGTTTAATATAGGGGCGGAAATAATTACCTATACTATTCCGGGGGTGCCCCATTTTAATTATAGTATAATGGGCCCCAACACCCTACTCTAATTATGAAGGCCGCTACTTTTAAGTAGAGTTTTAGGGCTTGGTGTGCTGGTTCAGCTCCAAGAGATGCACTCTTCTACCAAGGGCCATGGACATAGCCGACTTCTTGGCACTTGAGGTTCAAGATATCTGCAGAGCATATGTTCTCGGGCTTTGGCTTACACCCTAACCGTAGTGTGCAAGATGCGGAGGTCCTGCCCGAAGACCGTGTGCTTGATCGTTTGAACGTCAAAGACGGCGATTCTTTCAGCGCGGTTGTTGGGATGCTCGGCTGACACGAGCGCAGGACGATGCAGGTAGTGGTCGCACCTAAAGACTATATAGTGAGTATAAAACCTGACAGCACCAAGTTCTGTGTTGCTAGATTCAATCTCGGACACAAGAAATTTCGACGTGGTTGGTGACCCTTACCCTAATCCCTGAAGCCTTGTCACACCACTGTGGACTCTGGGTACCCAGAATGATCCCGCTTCGGCTGCTTTTCTTAATTTTGGCTGCAGCTGCTGTCAATGTTGAAAGGACCTCTTATGCCCGAAGTCGTTCACAGGATAAGGGAAGTGAAAATCCTTGAAAGCCCTTTAAGGCGTGGCATCTTGCCAAGAGCTAAACACTGCTCTCAGCAGAAGCTGCTCCAGCCTTTCTAGCCCAAAGCCCCACATAACCGCACAAAACATGATATGATATAAGTTAGCGTAAACAAAATTATATAATATTATATAATATAGTATAATATAATACAACATAATATAATATAAGAGATGCTATTATTAATATGAAATATTTTACGTAACAGATACTGCAGGGGGTTTGGGGGTTCAGACTCGGGGCTCCAGGACTTAAGGTTCAGGGTTTCGGGCTTCTACACGCTACTTCTCCCGCCTTCCGTGAAACCATAAGCTAAACCCCCAAAAAACCTCAAGCACGAAACCCGAAACCCCAAAACCCGAAACCCCAAAACCCGAAACCCCAAAACCCGAAACCCCAAAACCCGAAACCCGAAACCCCAAAACCCTGAAGCCCAAAACCCTGAAGCCCAAAACCCTAAACCCTATATTTCCCCGGCGTCCATGCCCTCAGAGCCGAAATCCCTAAACCCTGAGGAAAGACCAGCTCGCCTCTTCGGACAAAGCTTTCGCTCTGCTTGGCGCTGATGGCTCGGTGATCTCCTGGGGTCATCCAGACTCAGGAGGCTTTTGCCGGGTTAGTGTTTTGGGTTTAGGGTTTAGGGTTTAGGGCTCCCCCTTGCAGCCTGAGCTTGTAATGGGTTAGAGCCTTTTTCCTAGTATGTTACTCTTATGTTACAGTATTGATGTGGTAGCTTATCGCCTTATAGTAGTTTATAGTGTATTGCAGAAGTTTCTGGTACATTCTGATTGTTGTCATGAGTTCTTCCTTAGCTTCGGGAATGCGGGGTAAGTTTTCGGGAATAGATTTTGAGGACTCTTCGCGATGCCTTCCGGACTTTAGGACGGCCCGACTGTGTGTTACTACTAAGCAGTAACAGGGCTCTGAGCCCTAGGCTTGGGTTTTGGCTTAGTAGCCTCGTCCGCACGGTCCTGCGGGTGGAGGAGGCAGACGTGATTGTCTTGAGAGAGCCCTCAATAAGGTACATATAGTATCCTTGTAGATACCTTGTACCCGTGCATGTAGAAGGACCGTCACGAGTAGATTGGGTCATCGTGGGCCTCGCAAGCCCTCACAAGGTTTCGTCCCTCCCCGCGCGTGCTCGCCAGGAGACGCGAGGTCGCTCAAAGGTCGGCTTTGTGACTAAGCTCAATAACGACAGTAAGAATCGCGATGCGAATGAGTCATGATAACGACCATAGACCATAAGCATAATGCAACATGGCCAGAAAAATCAGAAACACAACTACCTGCCGCCGTCAACACCACCACTAACAATCAACAACAAGAAGAAGAACGACGAAGACGACAACACCAACAGCAACAGGAGCACCAGCAACCGCACAGCAAATTAATACTAACACGAAGAATACTGCTGAGATTACTACAGTAGCAACAAGAACAGTGATCATGTATTTAGTATAAAGACGGTGATGTTTCAGTAATAACAGTGATTAATTATGGCACTAGTAGCTTGAGCACTACTGCTGCTACTACAAACTACTACTACTACTACTACTACTACTACTACTACTACTACTACTACTGTTGGTACCACTATTACCACTACTACGTCGACAACGTCGACGACGACAACCAATACGACTACGACTCCGACTTCGGCTACGACTACTACTGCTGCTAGTACTACCTTTTCGTCGACGACGACGACGACGACGACGACGACTACTACTACTACTCCTCCAAGGAAGAATATAAATGGGAATAACGGAATAACAAAAACTCAATCTTACTGCCCTAAACCCTAAACCCTAAACAACGATCCTACTTAGTAAGGCCCGCATCTGAGGCGATGTGGAGCTCATTCAGGGCTCATTCCGTGCCTTCGCCGCCGTCAAGGCTGACGGCTCCATCGCTCCTCGTCCCCTTTTGGTTCTGGTTTAATATAGGCGCTTAAATAATTACCTAGACTATCTTTTGGGGGTTCCTTATTATGACTGTAGTATAATTATGAAGGCCCCTACATTAGCCTTTCGGGTAAACGCTTCAGGATTCAGGCTTTTAGGGTCTCGGGCGTCTGGTTTAGGGCCCTTGGCTTAGTGAGCTAAGGGTTCACCAAAGGGTTGACAGGGGTTGCATAAGCCCCCGAAGGTTCTGTGAGGATTCTCATAGGCACGGCTTCTATAAAGGCATTGATGCTTGTGTTTGTGCTAGAATGCTGTGCTTCGCGGCTAGCACTTCTTTAGCGAAGCTATGTGGAGCGTCATGTTTAACGGGTTCGGTTAGTGTTGATGAATCAATGGAGACTTGGTCGATCGGCTTTGATTTGGCAGTTCACGTTATTGTTTTATGGGAAGGTGTAGGGTGCAGGTAGGTCGTTTCTAGAGGCTTGTATATTGGGCAGTTATCTAAATTGTTTAGGGGGTCCTTTTGTAAGGGTGCCGTACTAGACCGGGGACCTAAAATTAAACAGGGACCCCAATTTAGAGAACTCATATATTCATGGAGTTTCGATCTGAAGGACTTTGCTCATAGAGGTTCTTGATGATGATGTTTTCGTTTGGCGTTGCTCATGACCTGATCTTGGGAGTGGCGTCTTTCAGGGCTTCTGCCATTCAGCCACACGCTTTGTACTAGCACCCCTATAGGTGGTAATACCGCTTGAACAGGGGAAACAGAAGAATTGTTCATGCAGGCTTTGCTATGCCACCGCATCATGTAATGCCTACTGATCCTACTGGGTGTTTCCTCAAAGAACTACGCCCTGAGCCTATACAGTGTGGTTTTCTGGTTTTGTTCATAAAACAGTCCCTACGCGTACCCTGGAACTCTAAACACGTGAAAACCCCTGCTTCTGAGCCACTCAAGCCATAAAGACCAGAGCACCTGAAGACACAGAGCATATTTCAGCAGATATGGAGAGATGGGACAGCCAAAAGGGCATGCCGCATGCCCTTAGAGCTCTCCAGTTTAAGGGCCGGTTGAAGTTGGAATTTAGAGGGTTTTTTCGTGGGCGGAGCCGAACCTAAAACGGCCTTTGGTCCCAAAGGTCACCTGGGGCCATCGTGGATACGGCGGACAGAGTGCCACGCCAGAGCGAACATGGTGGGTCTTGTTAGGATGTTCCAGGGCTTCGTGTAACAGGTTGTTGTAGGGCTTCTAAGGTTTTAGGTGGTGCGCAGCTGTCTTCCGAACCTAACTCAGGACCCCTCACCCATTAAAGGACAACGAAAGACAAAGACCCTTGATGGCTTGACGAACCTTCACAAACGTGTTGCCAAACCTCCAAACAAGCCCAACCTTTAGTTCAATGTCCACTCTCTGCCCGTAGTGTACATGTGCATATGCACATATGCCTGCACATGTACGCACATATATGTATACACATAAATATAGTTATAAAGTTTTACACATGTGTGTATGTGTATATATATATATATACGTACACATGTAATACACACATACATACAAAGCCACATACATACAGACCTGCGTGCATCCATCTATACATACATATATACATGGAGATGCATGCGTAGATGCATGCAGACAGACATACATGCATAGTGCTTGCATCAATCAGTTTTCACGAATGTGTGTATCTAGTTGCTTGTGTACCTCGTTGTTCAGTTCATTTCATCTCATTCAGGTTGATCGGTTAAGTATCCAGTTCCGTATGTAAAAACTCTCCCTTCCGCGCACTCGAAGACAAGCGAGCAAAGCAAAGCAGGTCTCTGTTGGGTACTGCCCCCACTCAGTAACAGTTCGATTATATCTATATTATAGCTATAATAGGCCCTTAGAAGTAGCCCTATTATCGACTGTTACTGTATGGGGTCAGTACCCAAAGCAAAGCAGGTATCTGTGAGGGAAGCCTCGGGCCCAGCGAGAGCGTGAAGCGCCTCTGCCCGACCCACAACGGGATCCTCGCCGTGCGCGGGGATGGCACCTCGATCTGCAGCTTCTTTGAAGGGTTCTCAGAGTTTTCCTAACCTCCCAGGTACCTACTAAATAGGGCCCTAGGGGCTCCAGTACCCTATATAGTAGGTACTTGGGGTTAGGGTTTTCTAGAGTGTTCAGAGATTTTGTGGAACTCGAGGGGGCTTCCGCGGCAACAATGGGCTCTTTCGAACTACCTCTGCATCTTTACTTGTCCTCTCGCCCTCCCTCTTCCCGTCACCTCCACTCCCGCTCTCCCTCCCCCTCTCTCCCTCTCCCTACGGTTCCTCTTCCTCTCCCTCTCTCTCTTTCTCTCTTTCTCCCTCTCTCTGTCTCTCTCTCTCGCTCTCTTTGTCTCTCTCTCTCTCTCTCTATCTCTCTCCCTCGTCCAGGCGGCTAGCCAGTAGACCGAATTGGACCGTTTATTTGTCTGTCTCAATACATATGTACAGACGTCAGGGATGCGGCTTTTGTGGGTAAGGCGTGATGTGCACATGTTTCGTTTGCGGCAGGCTCAGTGGTGCAGCACGTTCCCCCACTCCCCGCTTGGTCCCTAGTCTCCCTTGCCACCACGGAAACTCAGCTGCAAGGATCTGTGGCGGCTTGTGGATGGTCCAACACGAGCGAAGACATTTGCGTCAGACGCGTATTGCATCAGCTGACAGGTGTCCGCGATGTGCAGCAACGCGTTCCAAGAAGCTTGAGGGTTTAGCTCTTGGAACTTAAGGTTTTGTTACAGGCTTTTTCGGTAGTATGTCCTGCGTAGCTTGTGTAGCAGTCGACCCGGTATTTCACTCTGACCGGACCTCTCCGACCTAGCTAGCCGGTGTTTTCATTCAACCTTTCTGAGTCAGTTACGGTTCGGATGATCTGTAAACGTTCAGGCTTTCGTGCATGGTTCGGGAGAGACAGAACTAGATATTCTTGTGTTTCGTGGGTGATAAAGCTTGGGCTTCATTGTGCACTGCTCGCGCAAAACGAAGGCATACCCGCGGTGCTTTTGCTGCGATCGTCGGTGACGGCTCCGTCGTGACTGCGGGCCAGTACATGTTTGGTGGCGACTGCAGCTCGGTGCGCGACCAGTTGAAGGACCGGGGATGGTGCCAAGAACGCATACTGTGCGACGCGTACTGTTTCGTTGCTGTTTTGCTGCCGTAACCCTGACAGCCGGTATGGCAACCCTTAAGCCCTGAAGCCCTACGTCCCTAAATTACCTATAGACCCTAAACCCTAAACCCTACATCCCTAAAGTCCCCATAGACCCCTTATAAGCCCTAGGCCGCTGAATCCTGAACCCAAGAGTCCCGGCTTCCCAAATGTCTAACCAGGAAGCCCAGCGAGAACACGGGGTTTCTCAAACTTGGGGGAAACTCTATAAACCTAAACCCTAAACCCTAAACCCTAAACCTTGAATTGGGGTTGAGGGTCCTTAAACTCTATAAACCTAAACCAACCAAAACCCCTAAACCTTGAATTGGGGTTGAGGGTCCTACCATTTCCGACAATGTCGGCTTTGCGGTTCCATGTAGGGCTACCCTTATTTTCCGAAGCTCCCATGCCTATAAACTGCATAAGGGTCTATGATAGTATAACTCGAAGAAGGACCCATAAGAAATGATATCTCGAACTATTTAGGCCCCTATGTACTGAATTTCCCGAAGAGCCGGTTCAAAGCTTCAAGTTTTTGTGGGATGCGACGTTTCGAGTTCGAGCGTTTTGGGTTCGTGGGTGGCTTCTAGGGTTTGGGTCGCGAGGTCCCGCAATTCAGGGTTGAGACACTCCCGGGGAGGACGTGCAGCAGATTGCAGCCACCTACGGAGGCTTTGCCGCCCTCCTCGGCGATGGAACTGCGCCTTCGAAGCAGGATAATAGGGGCTCCGTTAGGGAAGGGTCATTTGTGAAGGGCGTCGGGCCCGGCGAGGGTCGAAGGTCGAAGGTCTTCATTGCGGAGGTTTCGTCGGGTTGAGAGTTTTTTTTTGGGGGGGTATGAACCCTAAATCACTGAACCCTGTAACCCCTAAACGGCCCTCTACCCTAAACCGGCTCGAGCTCCATCTCTGCCCGAAACCCCTACACCCGAAGCCCCGAGCCCTTAAATGCCAAACCCTGAGTCCTTCTCAGCAAGACCTGTTCTGGTGTAGCATGCAGGGGGTTTCGGGTTTAGGGTTTAGGGTTTAGGGGGGGCTGTTTCTAGAGAGCTTGAGGTCTGAGGCTTATCCTGCTTAGAGCGCTGTTGCATGGCGGAGTCTGTCAGCACTCCACTTCGACCAAAGAGCCCCGCGTTGCAGTGCTGCTAAGAAACAAAGTATGTGCATAGACGCCTCAGCCAGTAGGCAATGTGTAGATGCCGGCTCTACAGCACCACCTGATCAGAGCGATTGATACTTCAGCATTGCTTCTTTGGCCCAAATCCGCTGTCATGACGGAAGCCGTGAGAGGGTCTGTGAAAGTAGTTTCGGCAATATTCACTTCTGCAAAACTCTACTGTTCATCAGGCTTCTCTTCGAGGTGTTTCTGCCGACAGGCTGCATCAGGGTCCTTGAAGCGGTCGTTCAGGGCTGTATTATGGTTTGGGTTTTTGGGGGCCTTCCATTCAAGCCTCTGAAGGTTCAAGTTAGGCTCACAGGAACCCAAACAAAGCTCTCCTGAAACCCTTGTTCACTGAACAGACCGTCGCCGCCAAAATCTCGGAGCCCGAAAGCAGAAGCGCAATCCCCACACTGCTAAGCCCTATAAAGCCTAGGTGCAAACTGCAAAACCCCAAAGGCTTAGGCCCAAACTCTAACAGCCCTAACCCTAACCCTCCAGGTCGTTTTAGAGTTTAGGGGTTTAGGGTTTAGTGGTTTAGGGTTCCTACTATATAGGGTCCTATATAGTAGTAGGTACCTGGGGGGGAGTCTAAGGTAAATCTTGAGCCCAACTCCCCAACTCGGAGGGAAAAGATCCTCCCCAGCTTTGGGTTTACGGTTTTTACTGTATACCCATAGGCCCCATAGTGGTTCATCTTTAGAGTCGTATAAGGTAATCCCAAAAAGGAACTACTATGGGGCCTATGGGTAGGGTTTCCAGAGCCGAGCACCTAGCGATAAGAAGCTATACCAGGGCAGACGCCCACCCTAAACCCTAAACCCTAAACCCTAAACCCCAAACCGAACCGCGAAACCCGAAAACCTGCACCGACGGAGAGGTCGTGACCTGGGGACATCCGCAGTGGGGCACGAACGACCTGGCGGTGCGGCATCGGCTGAAAGATGCAACTGGGCTAGAATCTATATGGGTGGTTGTCAAAATTATGGTCCCTTTTGGGGTACCCTAAATAATAGGTGCCGTATTATAATAAGGGGGCGATAAATTTGACAACCACCCATATAAGGGCTTTAGGAGGGACCCTTGCAGGTTATTAGGGTATTTTGGAGACTACCTGGCTTTTTAAGGGGTATATAAAGACTATACAATGGTTATTTAAGGTAATGGGATTAAGGGTCCCTATTAGGGGTCCCACCTAAAGTCCTTGCATAGAACCCTAAACCCCATTCAAACCCTGTAGGGGGCCTCCTGAATCGTCATGATATGTGCCGAGGAATGAGCTAGCACCGAGCGACTCTTGACAGTTTCTGTATTCAGGGTCCAAGGGCTCGCTAGATGTAAGGACTTTCCGAATCTATCGGGGAGTCTTTGTCGTAGTGGGAGCCCCACGCGGCCTCCTGTTCTAGAAACTCCAATGTCTCGGAAGGTGGTGGCTTCGTGTGGAGTTTGTTCCGACTAGGATCCTCCCAAAGCGGCGACAGTCTGACAAAGATGCCGGAAACGAAAAGCTCGAGCCCAGAATACCAGGCCCGAGAAGCCCAAGTGGAGAGTAGAACACCTTGCATTGGGAGCCAGAGAAGATTGAACCTGCCGCCCATGAGCAAGTCCACAACTGAGAGCCCTGAGCCATAAACCTTAGCCCCCCCCCAACCCCTTCCCGGAGAGGGATTAGAGCGTATCTAAGCATAGCCCTGCACCCGAAGCCAATGCGGCAGGTGAAGCACATCTGTGCTTCGGATGGTGCCTTTGCCGCCATCCTCGAGGACGGATCCGTGGTCTCCTGACTGAAGACCTGGTCGAGGATTCGGGGCTTGAGGGTTGGGGTTCCGGGCTTTTGGTGAAGATTCAGACAACCGAAACTCTGATCCAGTAGGGTACTAGTAGGTCTTTTGCGCGTGTTTGGGGAGTGCCGACATTCGGACCTCTGGTGAGTATATCCAAAACGTTCCCCACTGGCGTGTGAGTTTCTGCCAACTCCGGGCCCGCCCCTTTCGGAACCTCACACCCAAAAGTCCAGCCTTCGAAATCTGCCGCAAGCACGCATCTACGTAGAGCTTTGTAGAAGATTCGCATTGACGCCCTCGCCAAAACCTGAAACCTCAATTCCCACCCTACTCTCTAACTTCCAAACCTTTAGACTCTCCTCACAAAGCGCTTTGAAATTCCTATGGCGCCCCTTGAAGCACCCCTACAAAAAGACCCGACCACCCCGATGCACCCAACATAGGGGCCTTGATAATCAGAATAGGGTTTGGGTTTTTTATACTATAATTATAATAAGGAGCCCCCAAAAACCCTATTCTAGTTATGAAGGCTAAACCCTAAACCCTGAACCCTGAAGGCCCTGAACCCTCAACCCTAAACCCTAAACCCAACCCTAAACCCTAAACCCTAAACCCTAAACCCTGAACCCTAAACCCTAAACCCTATATCAGGTCTGCTGGGGAGAGCCGGAGTTTGGTGCCGACTGCGAGGCGGTTCAGCCGCAGCTGCGGGAGGTGCCTTGGGGGTTCGGGACCGAAAGGTTTAGGGTTTAGGGTTCAGGGTTTAGGGTTTATAAGGGTTTATAAGGGTTTAGGTTTAGGGTTTAGGGCTTTGGTGTGGTTCTTGATATAGTTCTGCTACAGATCCCCCAAGAGCCCTATGGTAAATGTAGGTGAAGGCCCCCATGTTCGGGCTTACGGGCTGTTTAGGGGTTAGGGCTCTGGGTTTTCTGGGGTTTCGGGTTTAGGGTTTAGGGGGGGTTAAGGGTGAACGGCTCCTCACCTGGCTGTAGAAGAAACCGTTAAGCTACAACCCTGCTGTAACGTGTGGGTCGGCGTAACTCCTCAGCGCAGAGCTCACCATAGTAGACTTTACCCTAAAACCCCTATTCCAAGCATTAACTAAGGCTCCTATAACATGCCCTAAACTCCGAGTCCTGGACGTGAACCTGAAGCTTCGCCAAGAAGCTGCTAGAAAGTGATAGGCGACTTTGGCGGGGGGGGCGTCCCTTCGAGAATTATCCCACTGTGAGAATTATCCGACTGTAGTGTTCAGGGTCGGTAGGACAGCCCTAAGCCCTCAACCCAGGGTCTCGGGTTTGGGGCTCCGAGTTTCAGGGTCCGTTACGTTTCGAAGCGTGAGATGACCCTCACAAAGACGAAGATTTTCTTGCAGTTTTTTGCAGGTACCCAGACCCCAGAAGCGTAAACCCTGAACGCCAGAACTGTCAAACCTAAGCATTCTCGACTGCTTGACATGGATGGGTCGGGCCTATCAGGCCATCACAGCCCGCACTGAAACCCAAAGCCCACAGCGACACTGATGGAAAGGATCTCCTCCTTGAACACAAACTTACGTCACGAACATCCGAAACCCCGAACCCAAAAGCTGATCCTGACGCCGTACTTCATGCGTAACTGGGCTTCTAGCGTAGCGCTAACTATGGCAGCAGTTTTTGTTCAGCGCCTGCGGCTGGTCGCGGGGACTGAGCCAGCTGGCAGCCGGTCTTGGGACATGAGGCTGGAGTAGTTATACTCTTTATTATGAGCTGCCTTCCCGAACTTACTGAAAACCTGTGACTAACTTGATTGGACCATTTGAGAGGAACCTATAAACCCCATATATGAATAACCCGCTCACAAAGGAGCCCAGACCAGACCGCCCCAATAGGTGCAACGGCTTTTTGCGACGAGTTGCGCCTTCGCCGCCCTCCGCGCTGACGACACTGTGGTGGGAGGGTTCATTCAAGGGTTCCGATGTGGGCGTTTATGGGGGTTTCAAGAGGTTGCTAACCCTTTTTTCGTGGTTCTGAGATGACAGCTTTATAACAAATAATCAGAGTGGTTCAGGGCTGCCTGTGCAGACGTCCTAAACCCCAGCGCTATTCGCATGATCCACCCCACTCGCAACTAATAAGACACCAAACCGGAATTCTGAACCACCCCAAGCCTAAACCCCTAAACCCCGGAATCCGAAACCCTGAACCGCTGAAACCAGTACTAGGTCCAGCACTCTCAAGCTGCACGCGACTGAAATCCTTCTGTAGCCCCAAAATCCGAACCCCTTCAGTCAAAGAGTCCTACATGCAAAGCCTGAATCCCAATGTCTAAGGGTTTAGGGTTTAGGAAGTCTGAGGACTTACTTGGCCAACTTCCGAGCAGAAACCCCAGCTAGCTTTCGAAATGATCTTAGGTTTATGCGGAAAATAGAAAGAAGGCCACTCGACTACAGAGCTGACACCCGCAGTCTCCACCCCCAAAGCCTTGACACACCCCAAAGCCCCGAATCCTGAACTTGAGGAGCTTCAAACTGTGCAAAAACCCTTCCAGTTCAGCCAGGAACTCCGGTATAGAGAAACCCAGAGACTCCAATACCCCCTTAGTTAAGGAATATACCTTAAGTCATAGTAGGATCCCTAATAAGATTTAAGGTATATTCCTTAATTCAGGGGTATTGGAGTCTCTGGGAAGCTTGACACAAACCCTAAACCCTAAACCCTAAACCCTAAACCCTAAACCCTAAACCCTAAACCCTAAACCCTAAACCCTAAACCCTAAACCCTAAACCCAAGCCCACAGAGCCTCAAGCCCTAGAGCCAAAGCCTTCGCGTTCTTGAACCCAGAGACTCCAAAACCCCTTAATTAGGGAATATACCTTAAATTCTAATAGGATCCCTAATATGATTTAAGGTATATATTCCTTATTTAAAGGGTTTTGGAGTCTCTGGGAAGGTCACCTGGGGCGCTGCCACGCACGGCGGGGCCTCCCGCCGCCTTCGCATCTGGGTTGGCATTTTGCGTGCTTCTGTTGGGGATTAGGAATGAGGGTGTAGAGTTTAGGGTCGAGTATCGCGGGTTTTGTGTGCAGTGTAGGGGGAGGATGGAGGTTGTAGGCGTAGTATTAGGGCCTGAATGATCACGAATATGTTTGCTGAAGGTTCCATATTATAGCTAAAGTTCAATATCCCCCGTATCCCCCAAACCCAATCCTAAAGCTTTAAGGCCCGTATATTAGCAGTAGGGCCAGTTTTATGTTGCTAAGTAGCACACACTTTAATATCCCACAAAACCCGATTGCAAGCATGAAGGCCCCTACACTGTGCTTATGGCCGACAACTGGACACCTCAAAAGCTCTCACCTGTAGCAGGCTTTCTTGTTGAACCAACCAGATTTCGTCTCAATCCATGAAGAACCCATACGAGCTGTGGGTTTCGACAGTTTGGGCTTAGGATTCTTTTTACCCGAAGACCTCAGAAGAAAACTTTTACCCGAACGCCTCAAAGGAACACAGCTGCGTGACGTACGGAGCATTACGCCCAATCTATCGGCCTTTGCGGCACTACGTGGGGATGGCACAGTCGCCACTTGGATTTTCAAGTCAAGAACACGCTGGCTTCCGGTTGACGGCAAGGGTTTCAAGTTTCGGAAGATTCGATACAGAGGAACCACGTTGTTACAAAACAGGGATGGGAACGATACCTACAAGTGCCATGACCGGAAGATATTTGCGGATCTGCGTGCCTCAGTATGTACACCTATCTGTGTACGCAATGCATGCATGCATGCATGCATA